TGGACAAAAAGAGATGAAATTAGTTTTAGAGTCTATTGTTTTATTTTGAAGATGTTTAGTAGTGAAAAACCCAAAAAAAAGACCACTTCMATCTCTAAGAAGAATAAACCAACAAAGGAAGTCAGGAAGACAACAGAGGAAATGCCAAAAAGCCAAAGCAAAGGTAAAAACAATTTTTTTTTCAATATTTTCAAGCTATTGATGGAATTAGTGGGTAGTGGCACAGTAGGGTGGGGTCTGTTAATGCAAGGAAATTATTCAAATATTTTATTGGTCAACTGCTTTTTCTGTGAACAATCATCACAGTAGCATTAATCTGGAATTTTACAGCTCCAAATAAGAACTGTAAATCACTTTGTTCATTACCTAATGGGAACACCCAGATTTCATTCTGGAAATTGAAATGAAGTGAGTAGGATTTTTTGGAGTTCACCAATCCAGTGACCTGGGGGCCATTTCTTTTTAATGTGAATGAAAGAAATGAAATGTTGGCCAAAAAAAAATAATCTATTAACAGCGTTTTTAATAAAAAATTGGTTTTAGTAAAATTTGGGCAGTAATAGAACCCTGAAAAGAATGTGCAATATAAAGCAGAAGTTTCTCTCTTAAGCAGCTGCAATGTTTCCTGCAGAAAAGCTCTTTGGAGCACGAGCAGAGCTTTGGGGAGGTGTCTGCTCACTCAGTAGAGTTACGGAGAGCCCTTGAGAGCAGCACTGAGTTTGTAGTTCTGGCAGGTAAAGCTCTGTGTGGCAGGGGGTGCAGATCCCTGTGCTGCAAGCACAGCCAGGATCCACCCTGCACCCTCTGATGGGATTGTGACACCCTCTGTTCCAGGGAAAAACACCGAGAGAGGGGCTCCTTCCAGAGGGGCCCCTTCCAGGGGAGCCCCTTCCAGAGGAGCCCCTTCCACAGGAGCCCCTTCCACAGGAGCCCCTTCCAGAGGAGCCTCCAAAACTGCCAGGAGCAAGAAGGGAGGGCAGTTCCCTTTGGATGAGGATGAGAGTGATCCTGGAACCAGGAGCACCAGAACAAGATCTCAACTCCCAACTAGGGATGAGAGTGATTCTGAAACCAGGAGCACCAGAACAAGATCCCAGCTCCCAACTAGGGATGAGAGTGATTCTGAAACCAGGAGCACCAGAACAAGATCCCAGCTCCCTGTGAGGGATGAGAGTGATCCTGAAATCAGAGGCACAAGAACAAGATCCCAGCTCCCTGTGAGGGATGAGAGTGATCCTGAAATCAGAGGCACAAGGACAAGATCCCAGCTGCCTGTGAGGGATGAGAGTGATTCTGGGACCAGGAGCACCAGAACAAGATCCCAGCTCCCTGCCAGGGGTGAGAGTGATCATGAAACCAGGAGCACCAGAATGAAATTCCAGCTCCCTGTGAGGGATGAGAGTGATCCTGGAACCAGGAGCACCAGAATGAAATCCCAACTGCCTGCCAGGGATGAAAGTGATCCTGAAATCAGGAGCACCAGAACAAGATCTCAACTGCCTGCAAGGGATGAGAGTGATCCTGAAACCAGGAGCACCAGAATGAAATCCCAGCCGCCTGCGAGGGGTGAGAGTGATTCTGGAACCAGGAGCACCAGAACAAGATCCCAACTCCCTCTGAGGGATGAGAGTGATCCTGAAATCAGGAGCACCAGAATGAAATCTCAGCTGCCTGCGAGGGGGAGTTCCTTGAACACCAAAGTGCTGAACAAACCCAGCAGCAGAATCCCAGGAGAAGCCAAGGAGAAGAGAGCAGCAGATTTTGGGGACTGGAGCGTGCATGAGCAGAACAAGAACTCCCTGAGGTCAGCCAGGCAGCCTCTCCCACGAAAGCCCCTCACCCAGGAATCCTCAGACAAGGACGAGGGGGAGCAATCCGGTGAGGAACCCCCACTGCTTATCAGGAGGAAATACAAATCCATTCTCAAACCTGTGTGTCACAGCTGGGAGCCACACTCTGACTCCCCAGCTTCCTGGGATGATGCAGACACTTTGTCCCGTGGCCAAAGGACAGGGAAACCCTCCCAGAATATGCGGCTGAGGCTGAATGGGCTCGAGTCCAGTGATGAGGCTGAGCCCCATCCTGAAGGGACAGCACCTTCTGCTGAGCCTGGAGCTTCCCATCTGCCTGCCCAGGGCAAATCCAAGCCACCAAGGCACCTGCTCGATTCTGACACTGAGCCTGAAACCGGCGAGGAGGAGCTTCACAGGAATGCCAAAGTATCCTGGAAAAAAATAAATGATGGAGTCTCCAACAGCGCCAAGGCTGCGGCAGGAAAACCAAGAGACCGTGAGAGGGAAAAAGGGCAGAAAACTCTGGAACTGTTTTCAAGGACAGCTGATGGCTGGTCTGAGAAGGAATTACAGAAACTTCACAGGCAAGGGCTCGTTTTTTGTTAAGAGGGAAAAGTTTTCCTGGGGCACCAATAGGGGTTGAATGGTCTGGATTGAGGTTTTTCAAACTCATGATTTCCCAGGTTTCCTTTAATTCTCATTTTCCTTTATGTTTTAATTCTAATTTTCCTTTATGTTTTAATTCCCTATTAGAAAATAAATTCTCTTCACAAATGAAAAATTAGTATAATGAGGGAGACAGCTGGGTATTTTTAAATGGAGATGTGGAAACCTGCAGCAGCCTCTGCCACTGTCACCAGTGRGAAGGGAGAGGAAAAAGCTGAGATTAGACAAAATGTTATGATTCTGCTCCTCTGCTGGTTTTCAAACCCATATATTTGATCTTGTTAAAAACAAAAATTCATCCCTATGAGTAAAACTGAAACCCATGAGTAGGTAAATAATATGGTATAAATGTTCATGGGTCTGGTGTAGGCCATAGGTGAGGGAGCAGGTTCTGTCTCTCCCCAGAGTGCAGTAATCTGTTAAACATGACATTGCTGTAAGCAACTCTGGGCAAGGGGAGAGTAACTGCAAGGATGGTTAATTAATCCATCATCCAATTAAACCACTGGGCAGTGTTTAATGCACACATTGAGTGTTAAATGATCACGTTTGGGTTTAGTTCTTTAGAKGAGCAAGAGCTCAGGTCTTGGGGTGAGGGAGGAAAAATTTATCTTGTGGCACA